GTCTCTTCCTGTCTAAGTGGGCGGTTCTTGTCGAGAATAAGCTGCTATATGGACCAGACCAGCAACAGGCATGTAAAAAAAATCTTCTTACCAAAAGAGCGGATGCCTTTCTCCTTAAGGAAGACATTGGCAAAAAAGTCTACGTCCAGGTTGAGGAAGCTGCTTAGCCTGTCAGTGCACTCCCAGTATCCATCCTACATCCAAACACAATACATATGTTCATATTCCCTCACACATTTACATACTGTATATAATCTAGTGTTTTAATCATATGTAAACACCTCATGCTGAAGTTCAAACAGCTCATTCCAGGCCACTGTGTGAGGTCTGCTTATTTGTTTTCCCCGAAATGACAGAGCCATTTTCCCTCTAAGCTTAGGAATGACTTTGGCTCCAGCATAATAAGAAATGAGACATAGGTTTGACAAATGGTTTTAATCCATCTGAACATTGATCAGTTATAGAACCTCATCAATGTGAGTCAACTTACCAGCTGCAGAAAACACAGGGCATTTTTGTTGTTGCTGAGATGCTCCAAAGCTAGAAACTGAGAAACCACGATACTGTTCAGGCTCAGTTGTCTTTTGCAGAACACCAGTAGTGCTCCCATATGCAACCGCATTTGACATGCCAATAGCATACTTGGGAACTGTAGGTTGACCAAAGAGAACAGAGTGAGCAGGAAGAGGGGGAGCCGGGGCGAAAGCGGCACTGTGTGTAGCTTCATCAGAGAAAGGACAGAAAGAGGAGACAACAATATAAAAAAACAGAAAGCTGTTTTTACTCCATCTCAACATTGATCATATGAAACCTCATCAGTGTGAGTCAACTTACTAGATGCAGAACTCTGCAGAGATGCTCCAAAGAGTCCAGAGTCTGAGAAACCAAAACCCAAAGACTCATTCGATTGTTGGAGGAAACCACCAAAGCCACCAGATCGAGGGAGAGAGGGTGGTGCAGACATTGCGGGTTGATCAAAGACAATGGGGGCAGCAGCCCTGTGCCTCCTGGAAAAAGATGCGCCCACACTGCCAAAAAGAGTAGGAGGAGGAGCAGGGCTGGAAGTCATGGACATGAATTGCTGAGATGCAAGACGAGGAGGATGAGGAAGATCTGCAAAGCCAGGAGTAGTTGAGGCATAACGCTCGGTGGCGAACTCTGTGGCAGAGGAAAGCTGGGTGGCAGGGGGAGGGAGACCCATGGAGGGAGGTTCCATTAACTCATGACGGAGACGACGACATTGTGGACGAAGAGCATCCACTGAGGCACCTATGGGAGTGTGGAAATCAAGGCTGTAATCTAAGAGAGATTCCACTGCCTCAGAGTAACAGGGAAGGTCAAGGAGAGGAGGCATCGAGGCTGTAACCTGGGAGGCATCTGGAGGGGGATGTCTGACACTCATGGAGGCACCACCAGAAGGAGGAGGAGGAAAAAGTCTGTTATCTATGCAGAGAGGTTCTCCTAACTCCTGTAGAAAAAGGGGACTGGGAGCATCCATTAATGCACCATGCTCGATGGAAAGGTGATGGGGATATGTTACAACAGGTTTAGTTTTCAGACAGCCTCTGAAAGTGTCAGTGCTACCTTCAAAACGTGAAGGACGCCAGAGGCTTCTGGAGCGAGGAAGAGCACGGCTAGCTGCTGATGCTTGTTCTATAAAATCATTAAAAGATTCATAGTCATTCTCTGAATCATCATCATCAAAATCGGCTGCTTCACGAGCAGAACCCAGGATTTCTTCAGATGTGGAGCTACTGCTGCATCGCTCTGATTCCATCTGAAAAAAAAAAAAGTCAAAATCATTGTTAAGAGTTGAATACTGAATGATGTCAACTTATATCACATTACATAACAGCTGTAATAGAGCATTTTATTGTTACCAGTATGTCATCTTCAGCAACAATAATATGCACAGTCTTCAGCTTCTCTTCAGTCCAGCCCATATATGGCAAAATATCCACATTCTCTTCTGATATGATTTTAGGAATATCTGTGAATCCAGTGTCAAGCTCATTCTGGTCCTGCAAAGAGCAAATGAGGGCATTAGTTGGTATTTTTATTGTCACTCAGTTTAAAACAATTCACAGAAATTAATTCATGACATATTTGACTTAGAATTACTTTGATTCTGCCGTTTTGTGAAAAAAGTGATTCCCTGTGTGTACAGATGTAATTTTTTTTTACTTTATTATCAATATTAAACAATTTATGTGTGAACTATTTGTTATTATGGCATGACTACCTAGATACAACACACTATTTTTACAGATTTAATTACAGATTAATTATATACATGGGTGATTAAGTCAGTCAACCACCCGCGCTGCAAATGTTGTATTTCTGAGGATAACAATAAGATACTCAACACAGATTTGGCATTAATTCTGAAACTGGATGTTTAATTTTACATTATGATTAGCATCAGTCCCTACATTAGCAGTAATCATACCCTCTCTTCAATGGCGACAAAACTTGTG